GTTTTGTTTTTTTTTTTTGTTTTTTTTTTTCTCCGCTCTCGGTATATATTGTAACGGATGAGGGGCACGACTGAATGTCCGGGGTTCGGTGGTGTAGTGGTAGCACACCTGGCCGGCAATCAGGAGTCACCGGATTCAAGTCCCGACCGTTCCCTGGCTTCTTTCGACCTCTCGTCCCCTCCGTCACCACTTTCCCCCTCCGTAACAATAGTTTTGTTTCGGAAGCGGAAAGAGCAGGGTGACCGTTCGCTTCGCGTGCGTGTTGGGAGCGGAAGGATCGGCGTCACCGGGGGAGGGGGATCGGGATCGAGGGGGATTCCGGAGGTTGTCGCTCCTCTCGCCGAGAGCGGAGTGAGGATCCGAACGAGCGCGAGGTTGAGAGTGTTTCAAGGATCATCGATCGTCCCTTTTTCTTCTCCCCTCGCACTCTTTCCCCACATGACGATCGGGATGTGACGTGTTCAGGGATCGGACGTTGGAGGCGATAAGCGACGCCCTGTTCGTCGCCCCGTTGGTGAAACTGGCTTCCATCCACGCCCAGATCCCGGACGCGAAGCCGTCCTACCTCTACGTCTTCGACTACGAGACTCGATACGGCAGCTTCCCTCAGGTCTGACTCGTTCGTTCCCACGTCCGAGCCGTCTTCTCCGCTCCGACCGGATCGGGAGGACGATCGAACGATGCATTTTTTGAGCGGCGAGGCGGTCGCATCGGTGTTGCAGAGGCTGGGCTGCGTGCACGGGGAGGAGTTGGCGTACGTGTTCGGGGCTCCGCTGGTGGACGGGGGGGGGATGGATCCGTTCCCAGGCAACTTCTCCCGGAATGAGCAGGGGCTCTCGCTCGCTACCATCGGCTGGTGGGCCAATTTCGTCAAAACCGGGTCCGTCTTCGACTCTCTCGATTCGGTTCGGGTCTCGGACGATCTTCGAGACGTTCTCGGTCGTTGCAGGAATCCGAACGGATTGGAGCCGCCGGGGAGTCCCACGACTTCTCCCGTCCGGAATCGCCAGAAGGACGTTCACTGGAGCCAATTCGACTTCATGAACCAGAGGTACCTCTCCATAGGTAAATGCGCACGAAACCCGTCGTTTGCCTAAATAAAAAAAATAAAATTTTTATGAAGTTAATCATGACTTTTTTTGTCCCGTGATCGTCAGACCTGCGTCCTAAAGTGAAGACTCATTACCGGGCTCACAAGTTGAGTTTTTGGATGTACCTGGTGCCGGCGCTGCACCGGGCAGGAGAGGACGTCCCCTCGGGGCATCACCTCCTCCATCAACATCACAACCTCAGCACCTACGACGGCGTGGTCCGAACCCTCATCTACACCCGTCCTCACCCGTCGACGACGACGACGACCACGACCACGACCACGACGGCGGCTGCGGAGACCACCACCGGCAGTCCTCCTTCGGAGACGTCGACGTCGAAGACGGAGACGAGTCCGACCTGGAAAGTCCTCTCTCCCTCGGCCGAAGGGAATCATCACGGGTCTTCCTCCGTTTACAGCACGGCGCTCGCCGTCACGATCGGGATCGGCCTCACCCTGCTACTCATAAACATCCTCATCTTCCTGGCCGTCTATTACCAGACGACGAGGAGGAGGAACTCCCATTCTCCGCGCGGACACCCCTGCACCGGTCGAAAGGAGAACGGACAGGTGAGACCTGCTTCTCTCTGCCTCTCTCATCTCGCCGTCCGATTGAACGTCGCTACTGTTTCTCGCAGATCCCTTGCAGCGGAGTGAGCGTGGGGATCGAGACGGAGGGGAGTTCCAATCACTTGGGACCCGAGAAGCGGCTGCGATTCCCCGCGGAAGGGCCGTGCGGGAGCCTCAGCCTCCCGCGTCCGACTCAGTACGGGGCGGGGACGTCCAGCCGGACCACCCAGACGTTGGTGCCGGTGCTGAAGAAGAGGGGAATGGGGGGCGCGAGGACGATAGATGAGTGTTCGTGCGATTTGGTGCAAGTCCGGCCGAGAGGGAGGCCGAGTCACACTCCTCCGCCGTTTCTTCCTCCGAAAGACGTTCGGGTCTGATCCGCTTCTATCGCGTTTCGTCCTCCCGAGGACGTCCGGGTCCGATCCGGCTCCTCTGCTCAAACAGGGTCCCCATATCAAAGTTTCCCACGCCATTAAAGTTTGATGCCTTCATCAGCCTTAGGTCTCTTTTCTTTCTCTCTCTGGGGGTGAGACATCTCGCGTGGAGGGAAACAGAGGGAATGGAGCGCACCGCCTACTTCCACTTCCCGGAATTGGCCCTCCTCGACCCTGTGGGAAGATCCGAGGTCTCACGCGGCATAGTATTCAGAGTGACTTTCCCTTCGGATCGATGGCCCGGATGCCTTTACCCTCTTCCCCGCTCTCGAGGATGGAATGACTGCATTCTCCGTTGCACGCACGAAGGCTCGACGAAGCGAAAAGGAGAATCTTCGTCATTCCTTCCCCGTCACCCCCCCCCCCCCCCCCTCCATTCACGGATTACGTGTGAGATCCCATGACGTGAGGGAGTCTGATCGGTGGAACCAGGTTCCACTCAGATCTCATCTCGCAAAGAGCACCATAAAAAACATCCATCACGAAGGGGGAAAGGAGGAAACCTTACCGTCTAATCTGTTGATAGAAGGAAGAATTCTATGTTTATTTGGGTTATTTATTCACTAAAATAGAGTGACATTATCTTTCCCATTCCTGCTGCGCTCGGCGATCTACAAAAATTGGAATTCGCTGCGGGAGGGGAAGGGGGATCAGCCCATAGTCTCATCCACTCGTTTGGCATCCACGTGAACGGTCTGCCTTTCATCATCCTTATTAGGAAGGAAGGCAGAAGGGCGGAAATGTATGCAGATTTATGAGTTTCCCTCCTCCCGACTGGGGATTTATCAGTGTTGTCAAAAGACGGAATTGAATCCGGGCGTAACGGATGGCTCCGGATCATCGCCTTCATCTGGGAAATTTCTCCCTTTCTCTCTGATTTTTCTCCAGAACCGTCGAAAGTGCCAAAGAAAGGGTTGGGACGGAAGAAGGGGAAGGCGAAGAGCGAAAGGGGGAGAGGGAGAGAGAGCCAATTAGGAAGACAGAAAGAAGACGTGAGGAGACTTTGTATTGGGTTAAACGCTTTTTCCATGATCTCTTGCTTCGCCGTTCCTCCATCGTTCCTCGATCGATATCGAAGTTAGACCCCAGATCTTCTCCGACGCATTCTACCATCTGTTTCTTCTCTGTCTTTCTGGATAAAAAAAAAACCATCGGAAACACTCGCACTGTCCCCTGTCCGGCCCAGATCAGGAACTGAAGGCAGATGATCCAATCCGTTGCACTCCACTCACTCGACATCTACATTCCTTCAGGTTCAGACGTGAACTTATAGCAATTCCGTTAGATGTCACTAGCATCGTTATTTTCTTTTTCTTTTCTCTCTCCCCCCCCCCCCCCCCCCCACCC